ATATAGGAACCCTCTTTCAGGTCTAAGTATGTAGTACAAAAGGTACATGGATCCTTAGGGAACATATCTCTAAAGGTGAGGATGGCTCTGTCGCTGAAGTTTGGGTGCGCTCTCGTTCTGCGGTGTTCTATGTTCTCATCCTTCAAAGACTTTTGTATGGCTTCCGTGCTTGAGGCTCCTTCATTAACCCTAAACCCTAAACCCTAAACCCTAAACCCTAAACCCTAAACCCTAAACCCTAAACCCTAAACCCTAAACCCTAAACCCTAGGGTTTAGGGCGAGAGCCCTAGAGCCTCCAAGGCTCTGAACCCAAAACCCAAAAAAACACCCATTGGACTGCGGAAACTGAGGGCGGCGATCAGAACTAGCAAGCCCGAAACCCCTCAAAACCCCTAAAATCAGAGCCAAATCATTTATGGAACCCTCTTGGACCCCCCCCCCCCCACCCCGAAAGCCCCTTGTTTAACCCCTTTAGGAAACAGACCCGCGGCTCCCCAGCATTCCGAGATCCGACAAGGACGCCCCTAGAAAGCCAAGCTGCACTCCGCCCCCACGAAGTAGCCTGGAGTGGAAGGGGGGTTTAGGGTTTAGGGTTTAGGGTTTAGGGTTTAGGGTTTAGGGGTTAGGGTTTAGGGTTTAGGGTTTGGGGCTTAGGGCTTAGGGCTTAAGGTTTAGGGATCGGGTTCAAGAGGGGGCTGGGGGCCCATATAAACTGCAGCATGATACTCCAAAGTCAGGCCTAGGCCCCTGGAACTCAATTGCAAATCAACCCCTTTAGGGTTGAAGGGTTTGGGGTTGAGGGCTTGGGGGTCTACAGGGATTCCCAGGTTTTAAGGATGAGGTTCTGGCTCGCCGGGTTCGCGTCGTTGAATCTCCCAGAACCCCTGGAAGGATCCAAGAACTAGATCAGTAGATCCCCTTATGTAAGGGTTCCGAAGAGTGAGTATTGTGGTGGTTCTACTTTTGGGATTCTCTTAGGGGTGTGGGCTCCTCAAACCCAAAGCCAAAACCCAAAGAGCCCGAAACCCCTTCACTGAGGAATATACCTTAAGGGATCCTTAGTAGGACTTAAGGTCTGTTCCTTAATTGAGGGGTGCAAAGGGCTCTTTACCCCAGACCCTAATCCCTTGGTCCTTACCCCAGACCCTAATCCCTTGGTAGCCCAGTAACCATATGACTAAACCCTAAACCCTAACCCCTACACCCTAACCCCACATCCCCCTTTCTTGGTTGATTACTTTATAAGGGAACCCAGAACAAAAAAAGGGAAAGGGTACCACTGGGCTTCCAGGAGCCTTAACCCAGGAACTCCAACACGCCTTAAACTAAGGGTATATTTAGGGTTTAGGGTTTAGGGTTTAGGGTTGAGGTATTCTGTAAAATCTAACAACGTTTCTTTTAATTAAGGAGTATAAAGGGCCACTGAGCCCTAAACCCTATAACCCTAGACCCCTAAACCCCAAAGCCTAAACCCCAAACCCTGTTCCCTAAACCCTAAGCTCTAAACCCTAAACCCTAAACCCTAAACCCTAAACCCTAAACCCTAAACCCTAAACCCTAAACCCTAAACCCTACCAACCCTTCAGCCCAAGCCGCCGCCGGCGGGCTTGAAGCCTCCCCCGCCCCAGCCGCCCTTGCGGTCGAAGCTGATGTTCCAGGCGAAGAGCCTTTTTGGGGGTTTGGGGTTTGGGGTTTGGGGTTTAGGGTTTAAGGTTTGGGGTTTAGGGTTTGGGGTTTCGAGTTTAGGGTTTAGGGAGGGGTTCCAGGGATTCCGGGTGTAGGGTTGATAGTTTTGGCGCCCAAAACCCCAAACCCTTTTGCCTAAACCCTAAACCCTAAACCCTAAACCCTAAACCCTAAACCCTAAACCCTAAACCCTAAACCCTAAACCGAGATCTCGTGTGAAGGACTGGCGGTTCAGAAGCCCGCTGTCTCCTCATCCCAGAAAGCCCAGAACCCACTTGGATCAGGGAACGGCTTAGTAGGATGTTCCCAAAGAGCCCAATAACTTTAGGGTTTAGGGTTTAGGGTTTAGGGTTTAGGGTTTGGGGTTTGGGCTTTAGGGTTTAGGGTTTAGGAGTTAGGGTCTTGGAGTCTTGAAGTTGGGATGTTGATACTAACAGTCCTTAGGACGGTTGGTATAAGGATGAACATCCCAACGTGGATGGGTAGTTCTCTAAATTAGGGTCCCGTTTGGGGGGGGGGGGGTCCTCAGTATAAGGGTGCCTGTTATCTGCAGACCCCCAATAGCGGTCCCCAATTTTAAGAGAACTGCCCATATACCTTAACATACATGCCTAAACCCTAAACTTCTTTATTTTTCATTTTTGGGGGGCTCTTAAGCAAATTGTAGTAAAGCAAGGGGGCAATTGGGCTGTGTGGGTTCTCGAGGGCACTTTACCTTCCATGGCACCTTGTGACCTTACTGGGTTGAGGGTTTAGGGTTTAGGGTTTACCAAATGTCCAGAAACTTATAGTCTGTCAATGGACATCCCCAAACCCTGACCCTAAACCCTAAACCCTAAACCCTAAACCCTAAACCCTAAACCCTAAACCCTAAACCCTTGTGTCCAGCTTCCCTGCCACCGAAATTCACAGGTATGCTGTAAGGTTTCGTTGCACCCAAAGAGAAATACCCCCCTTCCCCCCCAAAAGAGGATTCTTGCAAGCCCTTTTCCCAAAACATCCTAAGCCCTTCCTCAATATATTAATAGAGGGGCCCTAATGATTAGAATAGGCTCTTTGGGGTTGTTATAGTATAGTTATATGCGGACCATAAGGGAATACCACTACTACTTATTCCGATCCCGATATTCCTACACACTAAACCCTAAACCCTAAACCCTAAACCCTAAACCCTAAACCCTAAACCCTAAACCCTAAACCCTAAACCCCCAAAGAGCTCTCTGGGCCGACCAGGCTAGTGCTGGCCGACTCACTCGGCTGCTCGCAGTAGTCGTCGGTCTGGCCGTAGTGCGAAGAAGCCTTAAAACACACCCAGTAGGGTTTAGGGTTTAGGGTTTAGGGTTTAGGGCTTAGGGTTTAGGGCTTAGGGTTAAGGGTTTAGGGTTTAGGGTTTGGGGTTTAGGGTTTAGGGTTTAAAAGTTTAGGGTTTAGGGTTTCGGGAACTAAGCCCTTAAACTCTAAACCCTTTTGCATCAGGTTTGCTCCTAGGCCTTTGTTACGACTTTCCCTGAGAAACACCCTTTTACCCTAAACCCCTAACCCTAAACCCTAAAACCCGAAACCCTAACCGACCCTGACCCTTTCACGTCTCTTCAAACCTGGGAGATCTAAATCCCGAAGCCCTAAGATCTAACCCAGCAAAAACCCTACAATATGGCATGGCGCACGTGGGGTCTTTAGGTTCTTACTTGGAGGTTCATCGGTAGTGAGGTAGGGTTAGAAGTATAGCACCCCCATTGACAACTTTAGCACCCTACGTAGGGCACTTGAAACCCTACCTATGACTACCCATGAACCTCCAAGTAGTCGAGCATGTAGCTTCTCAATCACAATGGTTTCTGACCGCAACAGCTTACACTCTCTGCAACTGGACCGGCAAATTCTGAATTGGCAAATTCTATTTTCAGAGAACCGTGTGGCCAATGTTGAGGGGCTCGCCGACGCCGCCCGAAGTGCTGAGGAAGTAGCCTCGGGCACCAGACTCTATGTAGGGTTTAGGGTTTAGGGCTTAGGGTTTTGGGTTTAGGGCTAATGCTTGGAGGTTCATGGGTAGGGCTTCAAGAGCCCTAAGCAGGGTGCAAAGCAGAGCTACCATGCTTTTAACCCTACCTGCAACTACTCACGGACTCACGGACCTCCAAGAAATTATTTGGGTATTTCTCTAAAAAATACGGTCCTTTTCTGGGTCCCCTCAACAATATGGCACCCTTCAGATAGGGTCCCAAAAAAAGGGACCCCCAAGAATTGAGAGAACTACGCATTGGGCTTCTTATGGCACCCGTCAATCTGTTGCTTCGGGTCGCGCCCACCCTTGCACCTACTGCAAGACCTGATCCGCTGCAGTATAGAACATGGTCTGCTGTGTCTGCAAAATTTGGGGGTTTCCGAAAATAAGGGTAACAGTTGGAGCTCCCACGGAAGAGGAAGGCCATCAGCTTCACTGACGCTAAGCCCAGCCGTGCAACTGAGTGAAAACATGCGCGTTGGTTGGGGGGGTTAATGTTTGGGGTTTGTTGGCTGATTACCTTTAATTACCTTGCATGCGGGAAATTAAAAAATCCAAAACCTAGCGATGCAACCACTCATGCCCTGGACCCTCCCCAGCCCAGGACTGAATATTTAAGTCGAGTGGCCCTGCGAGGCACAGCGGAGCACCGCTGAGACGGAGCCTTATGCATCAAGAAAGTGCGACATGGGCATTTCCCCTAATATGTCCTGAAAATATAACAACTATTTTTGCAGATGCGTGGGTGAGCTCTTCACAGGTGTGAGCTGGAGTATCGCGGGGAAGGCCCTTCTCAGGCATTATTCTGGAATTACAGCGGCCCCCAGGCAAAAAAAAAAAAAAACTGCATCGGTTAATAGAGGTTGAGGTTAATCGAATCTTAGGGTTTAGGGTTCAGGTCTTCAACACCTCTTCAAATCACCCAGCCAGTTCGAGCTTGCATCAGACTTGTGTTGCGAACCTGAAGCACCTCTATCATTATGAAGATGACTTGTCTTGGCGTCGTTGTGCTTGGTATAGCCCTTCAATCGATCAGTACACACTGCTGGGCCGGAACTCATGGATTTGTCTGCCACCTTCGCAAAGGAACCCTAAACCCTAAACCCTAAATATTCGGAGATCTAGAGAGTGTGTTGTGTAACGATTGGGTTTGTTGTTCTAGGGAGCTCTAGTAATGCTTGGAATGCTTTGTGATGCTGGAAATACTTGTTCCAGAAACACCCTCAAACTCACCAGCAGAGCTTATGTATTTGTACGTCTGGGGTTTAGGGTTTGGGGTTGAGGGTTCAGGTATTAGGGGACATCTTCTCATCTCACCCGCTTCTTGCATGCCTTGCTGGGTGCAGCACCGTGGAACTCCACGTCCTGGTCGTAGAAGGCCACCGCATCGAAAGACTCTAAGCCTCCGTTCAGCACGCAAAGCCCTAAACACGGTTTAGGGTTTAGGGTTTAGGGTTTAGGGTTCCCTAAACACCCCTAAGGCCCCCTAAGCCCCCTAAGCCCCCTAAACCCCTTAAACACCCTAAACCCCTAAACCTCGGCATAGGATAATTCCGAGCTTCCCATGGGACCCTCCGGTAGCGATGTTGGGACTAAGCACCTAACCATGGGATCCCTGTTTGGGACCATGACTGAAAGGTTTAGGGTTTAGGGTCTAGGGTTTAGGGTTCAGGGTGTTGAAGTCTTGGGTAAAGAGTGTCGGGCTGTGTCGGGTTTCTGGGGTTTAGGCTTTGGGGTGTGCAGGGTCCAGGGTTTCACAGTTTAGGGAGCATAGGGTATAGGGTTTAGGTTCGCCCTGCTTCATCACTACTTACTAAGTCCCTGACCTTCCAAGAAGGACCCGAATCTCAAGTCCGATGTTCATGCGTTTACGGTTTAGGGGCTTTGGGCTTTTTAAGGGTTTGAGGGTTTTTTGGCATTTGGGGTTGTTTGGTGTTTAGAACTTTTGCTGGGTGCCTTTGGGCTTGAAGGCTGTGAATATAGGATTCTTAAGGGAGGGGGGGGGGGGGTTCCTAAACCCTAAACCCTAAACCCTAAACCCGGTAGGTACCTAGGGAACCAAGAAAAGGTTAGGGAGCCTGAGGGAGTACTAGGAGTCTTGGGTTACATACCCCCCTTGAACCACCCCTCCCTTAAGAACCCCATAAGGGTTGGTTTGGGTTCTTAGGCTTTTGGGGCTTTAGGGCGTCTAGGGCTTCAGGTGTTTTTGCTTTCTTTGGGCTCAGGGCCTAAACCCTAAACCCTAAACTAAATCCAAAACACTTAGAATGACAGAATAGAGAAAAAACTAAACCCTAAAACCAAAAACCTGAGCCCTTTCTTTGGACCCGGGGGGCTGAGCTCCAAACCTAAACCCTAAACCCTAAACCCTAGACCTAAACCGTAAACCCCAAAAAAACCTAAACCCTAAACCCTAAACCCTAAACTCTAAACCCTAAACCCTAAACCCTAAACCCTAAACCCTAACCCCTAAACCCTAAACCCTAAACCCTACTCAGGCGAAACAGTCTTGTGCTGGGGAGCCGATGGTGTGTAGGCGGACGAGGTCTTGGGGCCCACACCATCCATCCACCTTGCCTGCAAAGGTTTCAGGGTTTAGGGTTGGGGGTTGAGGGTTGAGGGTTGGGGGTTTAGGGTTTAGGGTTTAGGGCTACGCCCTCCCAGTCCGAAAAAGGCTCGCAGACCTGGATGCCAATCTTCTGGCCACCAGTGCAGCTCTGGAGGAAGTTCCCAAGGCACCTTCACCACCTCCAGGCGTCATCTACTGCTCTTTTCACCCTAAACCCCAAACCCTAAACCCTAAACCCTAAACCCTAAACCTAAACCCTAAACCTTAAACCACTGCTAGTAGTAACTTCGGAGACCCAAAGGAGGCCCATGCTTGACATCACTCCAGCTTCCCTAGAGATTGCCAAAGGACCCCAAAAATGACATACTGAATATACCTTAAATCATACTGAGGATCCCTTTATAGTCTATATCAGGTGTATTCCTTCATAAAAGGCTCTGGGTTCATGCTAGCTGCTAGGTAAGGTTGGAAGTATGGACTTAGAACTACCCCAGACCCTAAACCCTAAACCCTAAACCCTGAACCCTGAACCCTGAACCCTACTGCTCCTGTTCATTGGCGGCAGATCTTTCAGATGCCACCCTCCAGCTATGGCTTGACAAGTATCATTCGATGAGTCTGCAAGTACAAAGCATACTTGACAGACTATAAGTTCCTATTGTTTTGCACCCGTCGCTAATGTTTCACTTTCGCCGAACCGACTTCATCAGTCCACATACCCTAAACCCTGAACCCTGAACCCTGAACCCAAACGGAAAACCCTACGTTATGGCTAACTAACCTGAAACCCATCGGCCAGCCTGCACTCCAAACTGCTTCAAGCGGCTCCTTCGCATCACACGTGCATAGAAGCAGCCTTGACCCCTGCTTAGAAGCCCTTTTGACTTAGCAGGTAGGGTTAATAAGTTGGGTTATGGGGATTCTTAAAGGGTTTCTAGAGGATAGTCAAAGGGGCTGCCACGTACTTCAGTCGCGTGGCCTCTGACATTTGAGGGTGGCCACCTATTTGTGCAAGTTCGTGACAGGCATGAACCTTCATCACGCCTTTGACAGGACTACTATTTGCTTAAGAGCCCCCCCCCCCCCAAATAACCCTTATGAGATAATTTTGTTCTACTTTTTTTGAGGGGTTCTTAAGCAAACGTTAGTTGACAGGAGAGGGAGTGCATGGAGGTGCAATTGACGCGTGCTCCGAAGTGTGGCGCTCCAGTGCATCTCGCGCAGCTTGCCGACGTGCGCGGTCGGGATGAGGACCTGTGCTGCAGTTTAGGGTTTAGGGTTCAGGGTTCAGGGTTTAGGGTTTAGGGTTGTGGGGTTTCGGCTCTCACAGCTAGCGCGCGCAGGCACTGTGGTTTGGGGTACTTTGGGTCGCAACAAGGGTTGCAACATGTTGCAATATTGTGCTCCAAAAAAGCCTAGAAGCAACCAGGTCCACCGATGCAGTCGTTTCCTGCTGGATCCTGTTCGAGAAACCAACGCCCGGGTGACGCTTTCACTCAGAGCAGAGCACTTGCCAGAACCCTAAACCCTAAACCCTAAACCCTAAACCCTAAACCCTAAACCCTAAACCCTAAACCCCATGCCCAGAGCAAGCAAGTCCAAGGAGCTTCAGGAACCCAATCCCTGGAGATTTAAGTGAACCCTAAAAGGGTTTATGCTTCATTTACCTCAATAGGAATTACAGTAGTATAGGGTATATGACCCCAATATTTAGGGTTCATGTCGTTCCCCCAAGGATCTTCGCGTCCTGTCCGCTTCTTCGCGCATCTTCTCAAGATACGGCAGCCAGTTTGAGCCCGGCTGCTGGACCTGCAGATCAGGGAGTCCTAAGCGACTCCAACCCCCCGTAGGGAGAAGTCCTTAATGTAATATTTAGGGTTCCTTATACGGTTTAAGGAATATTCCTTAAATTTGTTCAATGAAATTCTTGAAAATATAATAGGGTTCCTTATATGGCCTCAGGAATATTCCTTAAATTGTCTCAAGGACTATCCCTTAAATTGTAAGAGTGTTCCTTATACGGTATATGGTATAAGGACTATGCCTTATTTAGAAACCCAATAAGCCCAAAAAGGCTAAGCATCTAAAGTTGCAGTAACGCACCACAGAGGTATATGGTATAAGGACTACTTGGAGGTTCATGGTACTTACTAACCACTTATAACTGTACTTATAACCCTACTTATAATACCCCTAACGGGCCTTATAGGGGTTATCCCTATTATAAGTAGGGTTATAAGCCCAGTTAGAAGTGGTTATTCAGTCCCATGAACCTCCAAGTAAGGACTGTGCCTTCCTTCAGGGGTATTGGAGTCTCTGGGTCGCGCATGTTGTGGCATCCAAATACATCCCCAACCTTGGGGACGAGATGAGCCCCAAAAGGGTTCATGCTTCAAACACCTTAGTGGGAATGATTAGGGGTTAGGGCTTAGGGTTTAGGGTTTAGAGTTTCGGGTTTAGGGTAGAAAAGGGTATATGGCCCAAATTTTAGGGTTCATCTGGTCCCCAAGGAAAGGTGCCTTTCGCCCTGCCTGGGCCAACACGAAAGCGTATCGTCCACCTGGGGGAACTTGTGCCGCACCTCGACTCAGCTCTTTGTGGTTTAGGGTTTTTGAGGGTTTAGGGTTTAGGGTTTAGGGTCTAGGTGAGTTTAGGGTTTAGGGTTTAGGGTTTAGGGCTTAGCTGCAAACTGCGCAGCGCGACTCCTGAAATGCATCCGCGGCGCACGACTCCACATCAAAGCACTCCCGCCAATTGTGGCCATCACTGCAGCAGCGTTCACAGCCCTTCTTCGTGCCAGGCGTCCTGTGCAGGACCAAGTAGACAAATAAACCCAAAGCCCTACCTGGAGGTTCACGGGTAGTTCGAAGTAGGGCTATAAGTGTGGTACGTATACCCATAATGCTATTTAGGGTACTTATAACCCTACTTCTAACTACCCGCGAACCTCCAAGAAATCTGCGTGTCGTCACAATCTTGCAGGCTTTGGTACCCCAAACAAGGTTCTAAGCATAGCCGTGTTCATACTTTTAACCCTATACTTATGACTACCATGAACCTCCAAGTACGCCCTAAACCCTAAACCCTAAACCTAAACCCTAAATTAACCCTAAACTCTAAACTCTACACCCTGAACCCTAAACCCTAAACCCTAAACCCTAAACCCTAAACCATCATGTGTGTGGCTCGGAGCAGCGACAGCTGCAAGCCTGGTGGGTGGCATGTGCTTAGATCGACCCAAATGCCACAAAACTGAATCAGAAAAAATGATTTATTCTTTGGGGGGTGTAGGGTTCAGGGTTTAGGGCTACTAGACCCGGGAGTAACCTAGGGAGGGTTTAGGGTTTAGGGGTTACAGTGGGGTTTAGGGTTTAGGGCTACTACGTAGGCCCAGGAGTAACCTAGGGAGGGTACCCGTTTTGGTTTTAAGGGGATTACCAGGGAACCCCCCAACCCTAAAAATTGAAACAAGGGCCTACTCCGGGTAGAATACCACTAAATGGACGGTTTTTGCCTGAGATCATAGGATGTAAGGATCCCTATATGGTCACCTCTCAGAATCATGGTCCCTTTTTGGGTGCCCTAATTACCAGGGGCAGCGTCTTTCATGGTAAGACCATAATTCGGAGAAGTTGCCATATTATAGAAGATTGGCTCCCTAAACTACGGGGTCTTAGGCTCTCAAGAAAGCATCCTCGGGGGCGTATCTTGGGTGCATATTTGCTGACAAACGCTGCATTCTCTTTTTTTTTGGGGGGGGGTTAGGGGTTTAGGGTTACATAGGGTTGTTTAGGGGTTTGGGTCCATAGAACACCCGAATGTTCATTCTCAACCGCCTCTGTCCTGCAGGTTGGCCGCGCGACCTGGGTTGCCATCGTGGCAATCTGCCTTTCATCGAGGGTTTAGGGTCTAGGGTTTAGGGTTTAAGGTTTTAGGGTTCAGCATCTCAAGTCCGAGCATTCACTAGTCAAGCAGCTTGTCAAGGGTTGGAATAAAACCCCACCCACCCAAGAAACCCATAACATTGAGAAAATACAAAGTTCACTCAATACTTTCCCGGTAGGCTTAAAGCTCAAAGTCCAATTGGTCCAAAATATTTTAGTTTTTAACGGACCCAAAACCCGAAATCTAATCTAAGGCCCGCATAGGGCCCTAAACCCTGCGGTTTAGAAGCCCCGATCGGTGAAGGCTCGGTTTTGGTCAAAAATCCAGAAAACGAGAGCCCACCCAGAACCGTCGATTTCAGTACTAAAAAATCGAATTTTTAATTGGGACCCTTGCCGATCCTGGGGTCCCCCTCATTTGGGGTGTTTTTGGAGGCAAACTTTCCCTCTCAGGGGGGGGGTCGGAGTTTGAGGCAAGGGGGGGTCTCCGAAGACTATTTTGCCTTTAAAATTGGAAAATACGACCCCCCCTTGACCAAAACTAGGCTGTGAAAAGGTCGCCGGGGTGGCCCGTCATCAGAATTGAGGGTTAAAAACCCTGAAACACCCTGAAAAACATTGGAAAACCTTAAAAAACACGGAAAAACTTTGAAAAACCTTGACAGAACGTGAAAAAACTTGAAATCCTGAAGCCGGTGAAGCTCGGTTTTGGTCAAAAATCCAGAAAACGAGAGCCCACCCAGAACCGTCGATTTCACTACTAAAAAATCGCATTTTTAACTGGGACCCTTGCCGATCCTGGGGTCCCCCTCATTTGGGGTGTTTTGGGAGCAAAATTTAGCCCTAAACCCTATGCCCCAAACCCTACGAGCCCCAAACAGAAAAAAACATTTGCCGACGAAGGGGGTCAGGGCTTAGGGCCCCCCCCCAAGTGGAAAAAACCATTTGCCGACAAAGGGGGTCAGGGTTTAGGGTACTCCCGGGATTGAAAAAACCATTTGCCGACGAAGGGGGTCAGGGTTTAGGGCCCCCTCGGGTGGAAAAACACCATTTGCCGACGAAGGGGATCAGGGTTTAGGGCCCCCCCCGGGTGGAAAAAACCATTTGCCGACGAATGGGGTCAGGGTTTAGGCCACCTTTCGGGTGGAAAAAAACCATTTGCGACGAAGGGGGTCGGGGTTTAGGGCCCCCTCCGGCTGGAAAAAAACCATTTGCCGACGAAGGGGGTCAGGGTTTAGGGCCCCCCCCCCGAGTGGAAAAAAACCATTTGCCGACGAAGGGGGTCAGGGTTTAGGGGTCGCCCCGGGTGGAAAAAAAACCATTTGCCGACGAAGGGGGTCAGGGTTTAGGGCCCCCCCCGGGTGGAGTCAGGGTTTAGGGCCCCCCCCCCGGGTGGAAAAAAACCATTTGCCGACGAAGGGGGTCAGGGTTTAGGACCCGCCCAGGTGGAAAAAAACCATTTGCCGACGAAGGGGGTCAGGGTTTAGGGCCCCCCCCGGGTGGAAAAAAACCATTTGCCGACGAAGGGGGTCAGGGTTTAGGCCCCCCCCCCGGGTGGAAAAAAACCATTTGCCGACAAAGGTCTTTAGGGTTTAAATATACATAGTAAAAGAGGGTTTAGGGTTTAGGGTTTAGGGGTGACGGTGGTGTTCTGAGTTACCAGTGACCAAGATTTTGTTGAAGGCAGTATGCCATGAGGGGAACTCAAGTACAAGGTGATTGAAACAACGAACTTTGTGCTCTGGTTCCCTGTTGATAGAACACTTCATTCTAAAATAGGATGGCCCTTAAGACCCTCTGAAAAATATTCCTGAATGTGATCCTCTTGAACCCAAGCAGGGAAAGTGAAAAATGCCCCAAGGCCTACCGAGTAAAGGTATCTTTCTTTAAAGCTGTTGGGAGTGTTGCTGGGCCTTTCTGCCAAGGGCAGTTCTGCAAACTATTTTACTTCGAAGATCCACACCCTGTAAGGAATTTGCAGGCTGGCTCTCAGCCGGAGGGGGGTTTAGGGTTTAGGGTTTAGGGTTTAGGGTTTAGGGTTTAGGGTTTAGGGTTTAGGGTTTAGGGGGGTGATACTCTGGGGTTGGGCACCCCAGGGACTTTTCTGGAGATGCACTGTGGGGATGGGGTTTAGGGTTTCGGGTTTAGGGAGTTGGGATTATAGGGTTTATAGGGTTTAGGGTTCTTTTTGCTGCGGGTCCGGAGGCGCCGAGCGCCAGGTCGCTCACGCATCAAAAAGCCCCCGCAGGCAAAACAAAACACACACTAAAACAAGGAAAACACCGGTTCCGCCCAGATCCCCTTCCTTCACGAAGATGGCTGATAATTTCATAAAATTTCTGGTTTGGGGATTCGGGCTTCAAACGCCTTAGCCAAGGACTATGAACTACCTGCACCCCCCCCAAGTACCCCTTAACAAGGGCCTAAGTGGTACCTTGATGGGGGTATTGAGGGCATCTTAAAGGGTACTTGGGGGTCTAGGTAAGATCTGCCCTTGCTGAACGGGTATTAGGCCCCGTGTAGTTGGCGACCAGCTCGCACCTCGCAAAGAACGAAGATGAAACCAGTTGCGGGATAAGGAGTCACCCTAAACCCTAAACCCTAAACCCTAAACCCTAAACCCTAAACCCTAAACCCTAAACCTTGGCCCTCTTGGGTCCCCTACAAGCCGTCTAAGCTCACTCTCACACATGGCCGGCAAGGTCTAACGGTTTTACAGGGTTCTTAAGGGACGGGGAGTTCACGGTTTGGGGATGTGTAACCCAAGATTTCCGAGTACTCCCCACTACTCCCTGAGGGTCTCTAAGCCTCTAAGCTTCTTTAAGGTTCCGTCGGCACCTACCCCCCCCATCCCTTAAAAACCCTTTAAGGCTTTGAACCGTCCCATGCCCCCTTCCTTCGGGATCATACCTTTAACTCAGAGTAAGGATCCCTACTTAGAGGTTCATTGTAAAGTAGGATTCTAAGTATGGTAACTATACTTTCTAACCCTATTTCAGGTACTTCTATAAACACTACTTAGAAGCCTTGAACCTCCAAGTATATGGCTTAAGGTCAAGTAGTCCTTGCCTAAGAGGTAGTGGGCTGCCTGGGTGCTGCGCGGCTGAACCCAACTGGTACTTCTGGCGCGAGAAACATTTGGAATTCCTACCCGGCGATACTGCAGCAACGCTCAGGAAAAAAAAGCGACGCGGCGCGGGAAAAGACGTTTATGGATCCATGGTCCATTTCTTCTTCTTGAAGGTGGTCACTAGACCCAGGAGTCAGCTCGGAACAGGGCACCCTATTTGGTTTTAAGGGGATGATAAGGGAACCCCAACCCTACAAAAGAAAATTCAGGGCCTGTACTGCGGGTCCTAGTTGAAGGTGGTCACTTGCGAAAGGTTGCAGCTGCCATGAGAGTGCAGTAGAAGTTTATAGTTCGGGCACGTTGGATGTAATAACCGACTTTCAACCCCTCCCCCCCTGCTTCTTCAAGCTACAGCATGCCATACTTAGCCTTGCTTAAGAGGCTGCATGGGTATGCCGTCTGGCCTACACCCTAGACCCTCGAGCCTCTTGACTTCCGCCCAGGGATCTGGCGGCAGTCGCAACGCCTCGGTTCTCAGAGATCAGAGGTATCAGGGTTTCCAGAAACCCTAAACCCTAAACCCTAAATCCTAAACCCTAAGCCCTAAACCCCAGTGGTACCTTTCATGTGTGTTCCGATAATAACACTCCAGATTAGACTAGGGAACTTCTACCTTGGGGTATCTCCCAAAACTGAGCACTGTCTTTGCATCCTTTCCTGCCCAATACAATGCACCTTGACTGAGGAATGTACCTGAAAGCGGAATAGAAACCCCTCTACGGTTTAAGGCAGTTTAAGGTACATTCCTTCATTGAGGGGTCTTGGGCTCTCTGGGAGCAAGGCGTGCAAAATCCTGACCCAAGTCATTTTCAGGGCTACAGCAACACCATAAATCCGAAACCCGAACCATGTCCTGAACCGTAGACCCTAAAACCCTAAAACCCTAAAACCCTAAAACCCTAAAACCCTAAAACCCGAAAACCCTAAAACCCTAAAACCCTAAAAGCCTAAAAGCCCGAAAACCCTAAAACCCTAAAACCCTAAAAGCCCGAAAACCCTAAAACCCCCAAACCCGAGCTGGAACCGAGACTCTGTGGAAGTCGCAGTTGTCGTGGCCGTCACCTTATATTGCCCAAAGAGCCCAACACCCCTGACTTAAGGAATCAACCTTAACGGTTTAGGGTTTCGGTTTTGGGGTTTAGGGCTCGAACGATACTAAGGATCCCTATATACTGTCAGGTATGTGCCTTAATTAAGGGGCTTGGGGGCCCCCGGGGCTGGTATTGAGGGGAGAATTTGGAAACCACTTAGTCAACATGGCCTCTCCAAAACCCCAAACTCCAGTAACTTACTGTTGGTTAGCAGGGAATGAGGGAATTAGGGCCCTAAACCCTAAACCCGAAACCCGAAACCCTAACCGGGCTAACCAACGGTAAGGTTGGGGCGGGGCTCTACCGTCATTTGCAGGCCTCTACTTTGACAGAAATGCTCGCCGGTAACGGGGCTTAGAACAGTCAGTAAGGTAAGGAGCCGTTGCGGCCAGGGAGGTCGTACTCAAAGCAGAGGAGGACAGCACAGCCATCGCTGGCCTCATCCCACAAGAGCATGATTGGCCGGCCCTAAATGACCCCCTCGGTTGAGGGTTTAGGGTTTATAGGGTCCCTAAACGATATCCCTAAGGATCCATGCGCATGTGTAGTATGTGGTTGAAGCCATGGATCTCTGCGAGGGGATGCAGAGGGATAAAGACTTCGCACCCAGGTAAAACAGCAACTCATATGCCTCCGAAGGTGTCCATCTTTTCGGTCGTAAGCTTCTCGACCCTGAGTCACCCTAAACCCTAAACCCTAAACCCTAAACCCTATAGTTTGGGAAATCCACCAATGCAATCCGTTAAGCCATGAAACACAGGCGCACTTCTACCTTTTTGTCTCAGAGGGCTTGAGTGCGATAGGTGCAACATACATGAAGGCAAAAGTGGCAAGGAGGTCCGAATATAAAACACACCCCCCTCGTCGAAGCGTGAAATGCTGAGGCGCTGTCAACGAAGCCACGGCGGACACAGTTAGTGCCGCATTGCCTTTTCTACTGCATGTTCAGAGCACTGTAGCCCGAGGTGTGAATTCCGAAAACACACCGCCGATCACCGCGCACCGACTTCAAAAATATCCCGGCCAGCCCTAAGAGGCGGCGTATTCTTTGTTTGGTTCCGTTTGCTGGAACGTCGGCGGGGATACAGACACGGTATGAACAAACACTGCAAAACACAACGCGTGCCGCAAAAGAGAGAAAACAAGGCGATGGCAAACGTGTTGTGCAAACGCAAAATGTGGTATGTTACCACCTACGGCTATGATCATAGCGCCATGGAGTGTGGCGGTCTTGCTGCCAGCTGCTCCAGTCCCATTCGGTCCAGCGATTCTCAGAGCGCCAGTCTCCAGACCACCAAGTTCCGTGGTCAGACCAGCCCCACGTTGAGGACGACCATACATCGGCCTCCTCATGGCGAGGGGCGTTGCGCTCCTGCTGCCGGGCACGACGCTCATCCGCGAGCCTTTGTGCTGCACGTGAGGCCTCGGCGTCATCTTTCATCTGGCCAACCAATGTTCTCGCTGCGGAATGGTTGTCACGAACCACCGCCTTCAGGAAGACCTTGATGTCGCCGGCCTCAGTCGCATGTGGGAGCTCAATGGTGCCTTCGCAGAAGGTAAGGATATGGCTCACCCCCCTCGTAAAGAAGGCGACGCGAGAGAAATCCTCAACACCATAGAAGCTACCAAGCCAGGCAAAACCGATGGGCTCCTCCTGGTCATTCGACAATAATCCGGCCTGGATGAGATCACCGGCGGGCTTGTCGAAGTACACCATGCGGCAAAGTGCCGTGTGGTCCACTTGGCTTGCTTCCAAACGACGGCTCGATCCATAACCCAATGCCCTCTGTTCACGATTGCGGCCAGGATTCGGGAGATAAGCGAAAGCAACGCACTCCTGAATTGACAACAACCGGCGTGTCCATCCATTTCGGACCGCGTAAATGGCATAGTTGTGGTCAGAATCGAACTTGTCGAGCATGCCAGAGTGTCCTTGGCCGCGGAAGTGCTTAAGGCTTTGCTTTGCTTGAGCAATAGCCTTTCCATCGACAGACTGAGCGCCGCGGTTCCCGGCGTACCTGGTCAGCCGTCAGCTGCCAGAGCCGGTAGCCAGTTTCCTGGGCGATCTGGTCGAGGACGTCGTTGCGCTTGCGGCTCATAAACATGCGGAACGTTGACTGCCTGCTTCCTTTGGTCAAGAAGCAGCCACAATGGAAGCAACGATGCTGCCCTTCCAAACGCAGGTTGCCGCAATGATCGCACTGGATGCGGGTCAGGCTCCCGGCGCGCTGAGTACCAGCCGCTTGACCAGAGGATGCTGCACCAACATCTGCATCGTCACCAGCGACGATCTCGATATATCCAGCAGTCGACCTAGTAGGTGAAATCTCCTGGATGTCAATGTCGGTGTTGAACGTCACCCTCGGGCCTTCGGGAACATCTTCGTCTGTACCCAAAGCATCCGCCGCAACTGGGAGCTCGACCTTGATGATTGGCTTGATCGCAACGTCTTCAGGCTCCTCTTCCTCGAGCTCGTAGATGACCTCCACGGTATCTTGTGGTTCGTCTCCACCGGCGGGAAGAGTAAAACCGGCCTCCTCAGATTGAGGGGCATCAGTTTCCTCGACTCTGCTCCAGATGACGGTGTCAGACGCCGTGTCCCGTATGTACAGCACGCAGCTGCCAGGGACCGACTGACTGGAGAGCACACCTTCTGATCTGGAGTAAAAGAGCCCCACGCCAAGTCGGAGAGCCTCACGTGTGTCAACCACAAGCTCGAAAGGTCGATCGGCACGTACACCAGCACGATTTTCGTGATGTCCGACTTCGCGATCAGAAAAATACACATGGGCGTTGGCTGTTCGGTAGCCGGGGTAGAAGGCTGATTGCACAATCTTGAAGGCGCGGTCCTTGAATGTTCTGTGGTAGAGACGTTTGGGAGTCTCTTCCCAGCAAAGGACCGGCCTACCTTCGAAGGTGGCGTCGTGGTCACTCATTTCATTCTTCGGGATACACGACAGCCAGCAGTCGCAAATTTGCTCGTCGGACGCAGTCTCCATCAAACCTTTTGAATGCCCCTGCCGAGCCCGTATAAGCACAGGGTATCCGGCCAGACCATAGTAGTCGGCGAGTTGATGGTTTCTGTCGGCCTTGAGCTCAAAGCGACCCTTGTTGTCGTTCTTCACCATGGACAACAAGATGCCAAGACCGTAGCTGGTGCCGCAATCATAGTTCACACGATCGAGAACATCACGGGTCCGACACCAAAGCTCCGAGTCGTGCATGTCGTCGTAGATTTTGCCTCTAACGACCCCGGTCACATAATTCCGAGTCCCACGCGGAATTGGCACAGTGGAAAAATTGGGGAGATCCTCAGGGGACAGGATCACCCAGTCGGCCTCATCATCAGATGGGCGTTGTGCGATCGTGTCCCAGTCGAGGCCCAACATGTCGACGAGCTGGAAGTCATCGGACACCCTGAGGTATCCTGTGGGGATAACTTCGTCGCCGCTTCCACTGGTCTTCGCCTTCTTCGGCTGTGATGGCCCAATCTCTGCGGCTGCGGCTGTAGAAGATGCAGACGATGCTTTGTCGAACACCTCGCCGCGCCCAAGCAAACGTTGCTTGGTTGCCTCAGGGTCCCGGTTTGTCGCAGCCCGCGATGCAGCGATGACGGCCTCCCCAGGGCGGGGGGCGTTGTCGACTGCTTCTTGCTGGCTAGCCTCGAATTGAGACCTTGGGACGTATTCGCCGCTTTCCAATCGGACCATGTTGGGGAACTCGCGGTCCTGCAGGCGGATTGGTGCCCCAGATGGGAAGCTCTCCGCCGGGCCATCAAAATAGACGTCGTCCCACGGATCGGCCTCGACCATAGACTTCTCTTGCCCTCGTCCTCTGCAGCCTCTTGAAGATCTGGTCGTCGATCTGCGCGCCCACGGCGAACCGAGCATTCGGTCGCGGGACGTGCTGGTAATTCACCAGTGTGCGATCCAGGTCCTCAGTGCGGAAAAACGAGCATTGATGGCGCAGCACCATGATTCGAGCCGTGGCTCCAATCCACCGAAGCAGTTGCCGTCGATGATTGGTGTCCTCAAGGAAGTGATATGAGTCGTACTTCCTGATTTGGGTTGCAGGCACATTGAAGTTTTTCACGGCCAGCCCAATCTGGGCGGCATAGTCAAGGATCTCCTCCATCAAAGTGCCCCACTCTCTCGGGAGAAAGTAGGCCTTGTGGTCCGTCGCAGAGGTGAGGAGGACGGTACCAACGTGGGGGCGCTTCTGGAGTTCCTTGAGCTTGTGCAACTCACGCAGAATTTTGGGGCCTATGAAGCTCCACTGTCCTTGCGCGACATGCGGCTTTCCCCTCCAATGCTCTGTTGAAGGTTTATAGTTCGGATCCAAGAACAGCCCCTTTTCGCCCACAAGTTCATTTGCGTTCCAGACGATCATCACATCCACCGACAAGGTCTTGTCGATTGCACCAGCCCTCTCCCACATGTTGATCTTGTCAACGGCGAGCTGTACCAGCCGCGTGAGATTGGACCCCCATGACGGGATGTACTCGACTCCTTGAAAGTCGGGAAACACATTGGTGCGGTTGACAGTGATGTCGGCGAGCAAATCGGTCTTGTAGTTCCCCTCAGTCAGGAAAGTGGTAGACGAGTCAGCAACGATGATCAATGAGCGCAAGCGGCCACGAATGTGTTCGGGCTGGAGCATGGCAAGGCCTTGATCACTAAGTAAGCCGACTTTTGCCACATTCCCGCATTCCGCGGGGTTCTTGAAGGCAAATTCACAAAGTACAGGACGCGGCACATATTTGTAAAACTCGTTCACGGCGTGCTCGCCGTCCTCCAGTGCTGCCATGGTCCGATATTCCGAACAAAGAGCGGTCTCAGTGAGACGACGTGCCCACCAGCTGAAAAGCACCTCCGTTGGTGCAACGATGCCAGCGGTGGTTCGCTCCATGTTCGGCGAGCAGTGGACTGCCGCGATGGCGCAGCAGGCAACTAAGGTGTTTGTAGTCTCGAAATCACACGTGCTAGTTTCGGTGCGAGTTTGCGACAACGTGTTGATAGCACATGCGGAATGTTTCGAAAGACTGTCACAAAACACTTTCCAGTCATGGTGAATGCAATCAGTCATGACGTAGGTGTAGCTCTCAGAGTTCCTAAGGTCCTTGCCCCTAGACTCTCCATGTTTGTGATTGTGGTCACACCTATGAGCTGCCAGCCGCTGCATTGGAACAGAAGATGCAACGATCCATGCCTTCCTTAGTGGGAGTCCTTGGTGATCCAAGATCCCTAGCATGCATCCGTCGCAACGATACAGCTCAAGATCGTAATCCTGAATCAGCTTTTGCACTTCACCCCACTTCCAATAATCACACTCTTTCGGGAGCTCAAAAGCAACCTGTGGTTTGAAAGTTTTCATTCTGCGCAAGAGAGACTTAAGCTGTTTCAACAGTTCAATGAACAAGCTTTGGTGTTGC